TGCATTTCAGACACCCAGGCTTGCAGCTGCCGCACAGCCTCCTTGCTCGCTCTTGGCCGCACCTCATCCAGGGTCTGCAGTGTCACCTCCAATAGACATCCTTCAGCGTGGCCTGGGCCCTGCAATAGGCAGCCAGTGCCACCGCGAGGCCTCCGGGGCCTGGTGGCAGGCAGGATGCCACTGCCCACCACCCAGACCCAGGTGGGAAAGCCAGTCCCCTGATGACCCGGCCTCCAGGAAATAGGGCTTGTTACCTAGAATAGGAGGGGGCTCTAGAGACTGCAGAAGATTGTCGGTATGGCAGGCCCAAGATTCCCCTGAGGGCCGTTCACAAGGTCAGCCCTTGGCTGGCAAGAGGGCAGTGAGGCCCACGGCGCCCACACTGTGCACACACGTGGTTTATGCTGAGCACCCTGTTCCCTCTGCGAGTCTGGTGCGTGCCAGGCAGAGGCTGCCCTGGTGACCAGCCCCCCATAAAAGCCTGAGAATGGGGTCCCTGGAGAGCCCCCTGGCAGACGGGGTCTGGCAGGTGCTGTCCCAACTCAAGGCTGGGGGGACTGAGGGCGTCCCCTGCGCCCGCTGGACTGCTTACTGGGCCTGGTCTCTTGGGCTTTGGCCCCTGTACTGTCTACCTTGTTGGTCTTTTCCTGTGTCCTTTCCCTGTGACAGGTCATAGCTCTGAGTATCTAGGGACTCACTGAACCCAGGGGAGAGGGGGCACTCTGGCACAGAGGCATAAGCCGGTGAGAGAACGTTTCACAGCCGGTCAGAGGGACCCCGGCAGGGTGTGGGCAGCTCCCCGCTGGGCCAGCTGTCAGCGCCGCTGCTGGACTGTGGAGAGGACAGAGGCTCCCGCAGCTCCAGGGCGCTCGGGGCAGTGGCGTCTAGTGAGCAGCTCAGGAGTCTTAGCCACCGGCACCACCACACTGGTGCTTATCTCAGGCCTGGAAATGGGCCCTGGAATCCTACGACAGTGGGCGCGAGAGAAGTAAAGCTGTGCACCCAGCAAAGTCAGGCGGGGACTGAGGAAACCTGGGCAGCTGTCCCAAAAGAAAGTAGGCAGCGGGAATGAGATGTTAGCTACAAGAATAGAGACAGCACACCCACGGAATGTGAAGGCCATAGGTCCCTGAGGATAAGGCATGGGAATCTAAAACAGTGGTTCTCAACCTTCCCAACGCCGCGACCTTTTAATACAGTTCCTCATTTTGTGGTGATCCCCAACCATAAAATTATTTTCGTTGCTACTTCATAACTGTATTTTTGCTACTGTTATGAATCGTCATGTAAATATCTGATATGCAAGATGTATTTTCATTGTTACAAATTGAACATAATTAAAGCATAGTGATTAATCACAAAAACAATATGTAATTATCTATGCGTTTTCCGATGGTCGTAGGCGACCCCTGTGAAAGGGTAGTTCGACCTCTAAAGGGGTCGCGACCCGCAGGTTGAGAACCGCTGGTCTAAAAGAAGTTAGGTTGCAGTCCCACCCGAAAGCAGGAGGCCTTTTAATTGAAAGAGTGCCCCAGGCCAAGTGTGAGGGCCTGGCCGTGGGGGCCCGGGGGTGTGCGTGGATTTGGGTGCAGGGTTGTGCCTGTCTGGTCTGGTCTGGCTCTGGCCCCACATCTTGGCCACTTGCCTGGACAGCCTCCGGCCCCACCTGAGACAGCTGTCCAGGGTGCCTGCTGCTATACCTGGGTAGGGAAATGGAGGCAGGAGCAAGTTAAGGTTTGGGGCACAGAAGACCCTCGTGCCTGTGAGCAGGGGGCATAGGATGGGCCAGAGGGGCATCCCCACACAGACTTCCCATTCTCGGAGTGCACCCCTGACACCCCAACACAGTATACCCACCAGGCACTGGAACCTTCTCACATAGGCACCCACACCTTGGCTCCTCTCCTCCAGCTGGGCTTGTCCCTGGAACCCAACAGCTACAACCCTGGACAGCAGACAGGGGGACAGGCTGAGCGGGGGGTGACCAGGGGAGCCTCTCAGAATGGGACGGACCGAAGGCTCTCGGTGCCGCCAGGGCGGAGGACACGTTGCCAGGCTATGGGCTGGCGGCCTCTGGCTTGGCACTGCTGGACCCGGCTTCAGGGTTCCTTGTGCTGTGGCCTCTGCCCCAGGGGGACAGCCACACTTCCCCATCCCGCTCACCTCCAGGAGGCCCAGTAGGGTCCCCTCCCCCTCCCCCGGTCACTGTGCCACCAACACCAGGAGCTGGAAGAGGCCAGGAGGCCTCCCCTGAGCCTCGGAGGCAACAGGCCCGCTGACGCCTGATGTCAGACTTCGGCCTCCAGGACTGAGAGAAGAACGCTGTGGTGGTGAGCTGCCGAGTTGGGTGTTTGTGAAGCAGCCCTTGAACCTCACTCAGGGTGCGTACGAACACGCAGCCTCCCCAGGCCCCTCTCCCCGAGATTTCTAAGTGGGCAGGGGGTGGAGCCTGGGAATCCTTAGGAAAATTTACAGGTGGGGCGTCTACGGATTATGCTCCGGTCTCTGTCCCGATGCCTCCTGGGTCCCAGCTGTGCTGAGTTGCCTTCACCAAAGGGTGAGGGCCCGCTGGCTGGCTGCCGTGCAGCCCAGGTGAGTTCCCAAGGGGTAGGATCAGGCCTTTCTCTGCACAGGGGCCACTGGGTGGCATGAGGGCCAAACAGGACTGGGAAGGGCCTCTGTTCACCCCACAAACCCCAAAATGGGGGGAGAGGGGAGCAGTGAGCAAGTAAGAAGGGTTCACTCCCAGGCCTTCGATTCCGGGGAGGCAGGCCACAGAGCACCAGGATTACAGATGCCGGAGTGTCTGGGGCCTGGCTGGAAAGTGAAAAACTAAGGGTCAGCCCTGGACAGCCTCAACTACTGGACTCGGAAATGGGCTGGAGAGCTCCGGATGCTAGCGGGAACCACCCATCTCATGAGCACCTACTGTGTGCACTGTGCGGATGTCACTTTTTCCTCCTGACAACTCTGAGAAGGAGGTGGGATTTGCTCCCATTTGACAGAGAAGACTGAGACTTGGAGAAGGAAAGTCACAAGGTCAGGGTCACCCAGCCAGGGAGACAAGAGGCCAGCAGACATCAATGGAGCCCCTATTGCATGCTTGTGCTGTGCGGGCCGAGGGAAGGGTGCCCAGAACCCCACCAACCACCCGATGACATAATCTGTCCCCCACTTACAGACGAGGAAACAGGGCTCAGGGAGTCCCTTCCCAAGATCACTTGGCCAGGTCGGGGTGGGGCAGGCGTCAAGTCCACCTCTGCCCCTTTCTACCTCCCTGGGCTGCTGGGAATCAGGAAGGGGATGAAAAGGCTGGGCCAATTAAAGTTAACAGTAGCTAATACTCACCAGCTATTATCAGGCACTATTCTAAACAGTCTACACAAGTTAACATATTTAATCCTTGCAGCATTAATTCTTGGGAAGTGGGGTAGGCGCAGTTATCATCACCCACTTACAGGTGAGGAAACTGAGAGACAGGTTAAGCAAGTTGCCAACTGGGAAGAGGATAGCTTGGGATGCAATGCCAGGCAGTGTAGCTGCTGCCTCTCAGGTCAGGGCAGGGTGTCAGGGCAGGGGAGGGGCTGTTTGTTCTTAGGGCTGCAGTGAAGAGACCCCGTAAGAGGAGAGCAGAAGCCAGCAATCCCACCATTAGGGCAGAAGACAGCAAGGTTCTGCAGTTAAGCTCTGGTCCCCACCAGGGTACTGGCCTACAGTTCCAATAATAGCCACTAGATGGCACAGATGCCCAGGCGGTGGTGGGCCCACTGGCCAGAGGGAAACCAAGGTGGGTCAGTGAATCTTCCCAAGGAGTAGGCAGCCCCAACCCAGCTACCCACCTCCAGCTCCCCGGAGAAGTCGGGTGTCCGCGGCCTGCTGTGGCTGCGGAGGGTCAGACCCAGGTGCAGGCAGGGTCTGGGTCCAGAGCGAGGTCCAGCTGCAGTGGGAAGGCAGCAGGCACCCATCTTGACCCAGGGTGTGCTCCCGGGAGACCGAGAGGGCCTGAGATGAGACAGTGCATGTCAGTGGTCAGGGAGCTGCAGGTGCACGGCTTCCTCTCCCCACCATGCCCTGGTCCAGGCCACCAGGGCTGTCGCAATAGCCTATCGGGCCTCCCATCCTCTGCTCCTGCTCCAGTTGGCAGCCAGAATGACCTTTAAAAAAATTCAAATCAGCTATCATCCCCCTGCTCAAAGTCTTCTGCCTTCCCATTGCGCTTAGGGAGAAACTGGTCTCAGTGGCATAGCCTGGGGTCTGCGTTATCCTCCTAACCTCACTCCTTACACACTCTGTATGGGCCACGCTGTGTTCCTCAAACACTCTAAGCATGCTCCTACCACAGGGCCTTTGCACGGACTGTTTCTTCTGCAGAGCTTGCACTTGTCAGAGGCCCCCTGCATCCCATCACCCTCCCCCCTTTGTCCTTCCACAGCATTCACCATGCCTGACTACACAGCATGCATCTTGTTTATCTTCCTCCACCCACTGGAATGTGAGCTCCAGGAGAGCGGGCACTGTCTGTCCCTGTCACCATCCTTGTCCCTCTACCTAGAACAGGGCCTGGCACAAGTAAAACCCAGAAATGTTTTCTGAATGAGTGTATAAATAGATCAGAGGCTGGCAAACCATGGTTCATGGGCCAAATCCGGCTCATTGCTTGTTCTTATAAATAAACTTTTGCTGGACAGTGGCCACACCCATTCATTTACACTTCATCTGTGGTGGCTTTCATGATGCAATGGAAGACTGTGTGGTCTGCAAAGCCGAAAATATTTACTCTCAGGCCCTTTACAGAGCTTGTGACCCCTGGGGTGGAGGGTGGATGGTGGATGGACAGATGGACGGAAGGAGGGAGCAATCAACCAGCTACTAAGCCCAGGGGAAATGTAGGGAACGGGGTTCCCACGCCTCACCTCTACTGTGATGACAGCAGCATT